CCTCCATCTAATTAGGCATTCCAACGACCTGTCCAAATGGCTACCAGTGGGTAATGACAGTTAAGATATGGCAACCCTGTTGTCATGTTGTCATTAACAGGGCCAATGATACATATATAGTTATATAGATTGCTCAAAGCTGGTCGTTTACGAGCGGCCATATTGCCTGGCAAATATTTATTAATTTGAATCGGTTTAGCAAAAATGTGTTATAAAACCAATTTTTAGCCTTTAGATATTAAAAAAAATTGCCTACATTTTTACTTCAAGGCATAAGCTTATGTTTATTTTGAAAAATATGGATGATCAATCTATGTAACTATCTATTTCATTGACCTTGTCAAATCACCAGGCCTACAAGGTTGCCATAATTTTGCCATATCATAACCCGTCAGAACCCACTGGTAGCCATTCAGTTTGGAATGCCTAATAGTTTTAGATATATTTTAACTTGTATATACAGGTTTACAAGGTGGACATAAGCATTTCCACTTGAAGATATTACAGCAAAGGAAGTTGCAAAAATTTTCTTTAATGGATGGGTAAGCCGATTTGGAATACCACTAAAAATCACAACTGAACAAGGATGTCAATTTAAATCGTTACTGTTTCAAGAATTTTCAGAAATCCTTGGAATTCAATACATTCACACTAGTACCTATGATCCATGTGCCAACGAAATGGTTGAAAGATTCCATCGCACCCTAAAATCTGTTTTGAAATGCCATGGTCATGATAAATGGATCGAAAAACTTCCTATAGTTCTTTTAGGAATAAGAACGGCTCTTAAAGAAGACTTGGGTTCATCATCTGCTGAACTAGTATATGGAGCTACTTTAAGAATTCCTGGTAAAATGCTGTTAGAAAATTTAAATCCAATTAAAAATAAACAAGAATATTTATATAATTTTCGCGAAACAAGCTGAAACCTGTTCAAGGATCAAATCACAACAAACATAACATTTTTATTTTTAAGAAACTTTCAAAATGCTCTCATGTTTTTGTTCGGGATGATGCTGTTAAAAAACTTTTGCAGTATTCATATTTAGGACCCTATAAGGTACTAGATAGAAATGACAAGCTTTTTAAAATATTATATAATAATAAAGAAAAGGTCATATCTATAGATAGGATTAAACCAGCATTTATGGAAAATGAAGATCTGAATAATGTTAAACAAAATAAAAAAAGTTACATTTCGTTAAAACTAGGGAAGAGTACTGTTTTGAAGTGTTGGACAATCACGTATAAGCTCCTTAGACTGGTTGTCATGGTTAAGTGGAGACGTTTTGAATTCTGACGTTAGTTTTTAGTTTTTGAGTTTTCATCAGGGCTGGTATATCTAAGGGGGTCGCGACATAGACCCAGTAAATGGATGAGGGGGTGACTGAGGCTAGGGAGGAAATAGTAGTCAGCTTAAGTTGGCAACACTTTTCTGACGTTCGTTTGAACGAGCATCGTGCATAATAATGTCAATATGGTACAAGTGGAATGAACCACTGTTTTCCTCATAGTCCAATGTCGAATTAAAACTAAAAACATTTTGTACTTTTTTATATACCAAATTATGCAATTTGTTTCCACTTTATTTTAATATTACATGAATAGATACATGCGTTTGTGCTGTGGTAAATAAGTGTTCATGTGAAAATTATCTCTTAAGCTACATTGAGATAGCACTCGTCTCAAAACTGAATGCTGTAAATCCAGGATTTAAATCTTTCATAGTGTTGCTTGGGATAAATTGTAAAAAAGGTGTTGGACAAAACGTTTACAACCTAAAATTGCATGAAAAACATGATAGAAGAAGGAATTTTACCTTTATGACATTCTCTTTCAACATTTTTAAGTGACTTTGTGGTTTGGTGAATGGACTGTTACCACAGTCAAAAGATTCAAAGTAAAAAAAAAGTGACCAAGTTCTAATAAGAATACATAAGTTGAATATGAAAATGTAATTACTTGATTTAAATGTGATTTAATTAAGAGTTAAATAAAAGTTTCATATAAACAAAGTGCTGTAAAATGTTAATAAATGCAAAACCATTATTAAAGAGAAATTAGTTATCATCAATAAGATATTTTGTAGTAGCTGGTCTCTATAAATAATAAACTTGAAAGACTGAATTAGTAGTCACTTTTACACTAGAAGTAAACACAAAAAAAAAAAAATGTGTGGTTAAATAAATTAGGAATGCACATAGTAATTTGTTAACAATATAATTTATTATCTGTGTAAGGTTTAATCCCACCTACAGGGTGTAGTCATAAAATAACAACATACTTGCATCATCAAACTTTCTGTTGCTTATTATTTTGAATTATTGTTCTATGTGAATACTCTAAAACCTTGTGAAGTTTAGATCAATATAATATATATATTCTAAGGGTAAATATGAACATCTTTAAAAACGTTACATAATAGTATGTTTGAAATTTCGTAGTTCGGTACTGTAAACCAACAGCAACAATACATAATAATTTATCCCGAAATTTTAATCTGGCGCAGTTTACGACCCTCCGTTCTATGCCATGCATTCGCATGCTTATCTCCAGTTGTATGCATACGAATTCCTATTCAAATAATTCCTACAATCTCCGTTCTGTCGAACGTGAATCGTGATTCGGGCCACATTCGAAATTTGCTACAGTAAAAAGAAGACGAAACTACGCTGCTGCCGTGGGTGAGATAGTAGATTGTCGAAAATTATAATATGATGGCCTGCCATCAGTATTTGGGATAAAAAAAAAAGGTTTGGATGCAGACGATATGAAATACGTTGACATAATCTGACCTTTTTAACCAAATATACAGTGTTGGCTATCGAAGTGCAAACTAAAAAGAGTTAGTATCAGTGCGAGCAAGAAACGAATATTACAAGCGTTACCAGTTTATATGGCCCGGCCAACGCTACACAACGCAGTCGGGACAAGTAACGTCATGTCATACTGATGTTTGTCCCATACACATAGGATCATTAATAGCATAAATATACGGTAATGCTCTCAGGACATTGCAACTGCTTATGATTTTTCTTTCACGTCACGTCTCCTTCATAGTACCGTTTTTCTCATGCAATTCGGATCAGTTATAGCGGAAATATACTAGGTCTTCAGATCCTCTTTTTCCCCTCCAGAGGCTACTCCAACGCTTCCCCCCTAGGTCTACATTACTCCTTCACTTCTTCCTCTTTGAGTCTTCAGAGACTTCTTCAACGTCTCCTCTAATAAGTTAGATGACTTCTCGTATATAACGCCTAGGTTAGATGGCTTAGCGATGATTATAGTTGAATACCGAAAAAATAGACAGTAATTTAATACCAAGAATGCTGACAGAGGTTCCTTGAATGCTATTGAAATATATGCCTAGCACTGAAACAAATCTTTTGTGTGAACATATATCCGAAGAAATTAGAAGTGACAACTTAAAAACTGAGGTTAGGAAAGAAATAAAGAAAGCTGTACACACATTTTTTGTGGCTGTATGGAGAAAATGGAAAGGAAGTCACGGAATTTTATACAGATTTTTGCAAAAAAAAACGCAGATTGTCTAATTATCATTAAGAAGCGTTATGAATTCTAGAACTCATCATAATGTGCCAGCATCTCACTAAGGTCTATAATTTCTGTTTGATACTAATTATAAAATTATTGAGAAAGTTCTAGAGGCTAGAACTCTTCGGGACTCAATGCAAAGAGAGTCAAGTTGTCATTTAGAAACATTGTAATTTATGTGCATTATGTGTTTTAGTTGTAGCATTTTACTATCGTCTAGAATTTATATGTATAATATTTATTTATAATTATTTTAAGAGGGTAAAAGTTCTAAATGAAATAATAAGGCTATACAAACGAATAAGAAATCTAGAACTATTCGTAAACTATCGATTTGCCGTCCGATTTTTTAAAATTTATATTATTTTATTTGTGGTAGCATCTCATTTTTTAAATTGTTCATTTCGGTAGTATATTCGACAGGACTATTGATAAAAAGTATCAATGATTATGAAACTATATCGGATACCATAAGAACTCTGCTTAAAATAGGAGATTTGAGATGCTTACTTCACACACCTGTACAACTCCCAGCAGTTGAGTGCCAACTGAGAGCGTCTCCGGGTGGTGGATAGGAGAACGGCCAAGTTTTCCTTGGTTAGTGGTAGACATAAGTAGAGTATGAGAGCCTAAAAACCCTCAAAGTCTTTTGCGAAGGCTATTGCCGCGAACCAACTCCCCCAATCTAAGGTGTAAAGTAACGTGCCGACGGATGAATTGTCGCAGGGGCAGATGCGACAGAAAACGCTCCTCTGAAGGAACCTGGCGATACTTTCTTGTATCTAGCCTTGCCGGCGCATGCGGGGCTCTGCGTCTGTCGACCTTTCCTTCCCTAGCTACTCGTGCGAACCATATGGATTCTGAAACACAAAAACTCGAAGAGGCTGAACGTCGACGCTCACCTCCAGCAAAGGAGACTGGACGACTAAGTCCAACTCCGGCGCAGGAGGCTGGACATCGACGATCACCTCCAAAGAAGGAGGATGGAAGTCAACGCTCACTTCCTGCAAAGGAGTCTGAACAATAAAGTTCAGCTCCTGTACAGGAGGCTGGATAGCGACGCCCAACTCCGAAAAAAGAGTAGTTCACCTCCAACTAACAGGCCCCGGATAGGCAAGATAATCTCTGGGTCTAAAGGAAAGGGATAAGTTGCAGGCAGGCAGTGCTACGGCAACCGCCACCCTCAGCAATTTCCCTCAGTCCAAAATAAACAAAAGCGGCTTAATCAAGTCATTAGGCAGCGACGCTAGTTCTACCTCCACTAGAGGCCAGGAACACGAAGCAAATATGAAAAAGAAAAGGCCGCGATCTCACACCTCTTCCGACGTAACACCCCGGAAGGGGAAAAACCCAGACAGGACCACAAAGTTATGTCTGGGATAAGCTACAAGGATGCAGCTACGAGCCACCTGAAAGTAGCTATAATAGGCAATGATAATCCTTACGGTAAGATAACTACTGAAAGAGAAATTCTTGTCAAAAAGACATTGATTGGAGGGCTGGAGTAAACAATTTTGTCCGTCTCCTGCAGCAAAACCAAGCCACCCACCTTTAAGTCTTGGACGCACTCTGGTGAAATCATCAGAGTAACGTGCGACGATGACCTGACATTGGAATAGCTAAAAACCAAGGTACCAACCTTAAAAACATGGGAAGGAGCAACACTCGCTGTTGTAAGAAAGGGCGGGCTCCCGAAGCTCACCAAAGCCTCTCTTTGGATCCCAGGGGAAGCGCAAGCTGACCTTGACAAGAAGGAAGTTGTGCTCAGGCGACTTGAGGGGCAAAAACCAAACTAACATGTGGCGAAATGCTGCACCTTCCACCATGAAATAAAAAAAAGACTCCAAGGGCCATCTTTTCGTCTGAGGCTGAAGCGAGGCCCAGTGAAGACTCCTTGGTAAAATACCCTCTTCTCCTAACCGTGGAGGACGTTGAGCCAGAAAAAAT